GGGTCTGGGGTTTAGGGTTTAGGCTTGAGGGTCTAGGGTCTGCGGTTTCGGGTTTAGGGTTTAAGGTTTAGGGTTTAGGGTTTAGGGGTTTAGGGGTTTAGGCTTTAGGGTTTAGGGTCTGGGGTGTCGGGTTTAGGGTTTAGGGTTTAGGGTTCCAAGCCTTAGAATAGACACTTCGGGCTTGCGTGGCCCAAATTTGCCTGTGATATAGGGACCTCAATTAAGTAGAATAGGGTTTGGGGGTCCATTATACTATACTGCTAATCAGGAACCCCCCAAAACCCCGTTCTACTTATGAAGGCCCCTATATTATATAAGTCCATGCTCTGATCGGTCGTTGAAGGCAGCTACGGTCTGCTTCGGTCGTTGTTTGAGGCTCCGGACAAAAGCAATTCTTCATACAAGTCTGGTTCCCTGTTGGTTTAGGGTGTAGGGTTTGGGGTTTAGGGTCTAGGGCTTAGGGTTTGGGGCTATATTTAAACTGCTTAATCCTTATTGGGTCTTGTTGTAGCAAAAATGTGAAGATGTGTAGCCAACAAGGACCCGGAAGTGGTCGCAAGAGTAGCTTGCCTAAACCCTAAACCCTAAACCCTTAGACCGTGCTTGCTGTCAAACGGCCGTTGAATCAATCAGGGTTAAGATAAGGACGTCTTCACTGCGTTCAGATATTAACGGTTTAGGGTTTAGGGTTTAGGGTTTAGAGTTTAGGGTTTAGGGTTTAGGGTTTAGAGCTTAGGGTTTAGGGTTTAGAGTTTAGAGTTTAGGGTTTCGGGTTTAGGGTATGCAAGAACGTCAACGGCCGTGTCTTTTTCCACGGTAGGCCCCACAGCCCCGAACATCGAACCACAAAAGCCGAAACCCTACTGTAATCCGAGTCCAAAAACCTAGAGCCTGAACCTGAAACGGCTGCTTGCCGGGCACGGAGCAGGGCAGTGAGAGTAGCTACTCATGCATCTGATGATACCCAGACCGTCCAAAATCCCTTGATTAAGGAATGATGTTTAAGTCCTCGTAAGATAAGCGAATCTACTAGATGTTGAGGTATCTTGACCGATAAAGTATCTTTTTTATGAGTACATGGACCCTTAGAAACCCCTATAATAAAGAACCATGAAGCCCGCAATCCCCTAATTAAACCCTGAACCCTAAACCACACAAACATATCATGAAGCCCGACATTTTGCTTTAAATCCCTAAACCCAGACTATGCCGTGTCAAGTTGTGTGCCTAAACCCTAAACCCTAAACCCGAAACGCGGTGCCTCCACTTTGGGCTCTTCCGGTGCAGGAGCTGCCGCGCGCGGTTCCGGCGCAACTTCTTGCGCCTCTCCAAACGAGTTGGTTTCGCGAGTGCACTTCTGAATTTAAGGGCTTAGGGCTTCGGGTTTAGGGGTTGACGGGTGTAGGGATTTAGGGGTTTAGGGCCTAGGGTTTAGGTGGGGTTTTGAGGTTTTGGGGTCTAGGGGTTTGGGGTTTATAGGGACTTCGGGTTAGGGTTTAGGGGTTGAGGACCGGGTTACTTTGGGTTCTGCAGTAAACTTATGGAAAAGTATACCCCAACAACCTGTCTACTGATTCCGCGCCTTTTCTTCCATTGAAGGCTTAGTGTAGATTTAGATTGCAGGGCTTCAGAGCTTTGGCGTTAGAATTCTGGTCTGGCTAGCTTGCCTTCTAAGCTCTTGGGTTGAAATTCTTCGTCAGGGTGTGGGGTTTGGTTTGGGATTTAGGGTTTAGGGGTTTGGTTGAGGGTGCCGGGTTTAAGGCTCAGATTTGGATTAGGGTGGGTATCTGGTTCCGGTGATGGGGGTGTAGTTTGCGACCCTGGACCTGTGCCGCAGCAAGAATACGATATAAAATACCTCTTCAAAAGGATAGCTTGGGTCCTGGCAAAGTCTAGAGTTTAGGGCAACTGTAGGGCTATGGTATAGCCTATAGTTGAAGGTTTACAAGTTTTGTAGGATTTCACCAGCATTGGCTTTGGAATTATTCATGCTGTAGGGTCTACGTTTTATATAGGGTTTCTAAACGTCTCAACTCCCGACCAACTTGCACCCAATGGGCGGAAGCGATGCGGCAACAGGTTGGTGCATGTGACTGGCCAAGTAGAACGACGTTCGAAACAGACTGTCTTTGTGTGCATGTACATACACCGTCATGTTTAAATCGCAGGAAACAATTCTTCAGGCAGAACAGACAACAAACCTGTCTATAACCAGGACCCAAAAACCCTTGAAGGGTTGCTATAAGGCTTCTTTTCAATGCGGAGGGTGACAGGGAGAAGCCTAAGTCCCAACGACCAACGCCCACAAGTTTACCACGCCCACAAGTTTACCGCTCAGATACCCAAAGGGTCCTAGGTACTGTTATGGTGGATACTCCCCCAAATCATGATAGTAATTCCTATTAGCCCGAACATACACCCAAGTTTCGCGATGCAGGTGTTTCCAGAGCAGGGGAAATTGCATGATTGATGATGTGCAAAAGCTTCTTTTTGCACGGCCCCTCATTCTAGGACATTTTCAGGNNCTCCCCACCTGTAGTTTCCTTAAACCCTAAACCCTTAAACCCTTAAACCCTAAACCCTAAACCCTTAAAAGGGAGCGTCTTGGAATTACTATGTCATCTCTCAGCCGGCGTCCGGTCGGATCGGCCTCTGACTCCTCGTCACTATAGCTCTCCTCGGAGGAGCGAACCATGGCCAGAAGCCCTAAACCCTAAAGGCCCTAAACCCTAAAACCCTTAAGACCCTTAAGACCCAAAGCCATAAACCCTAAACCCGTAAGACCCGAAACCCTAAACCCTAGACCCTAAACCCAAACCCTAATCCCTAAACCCTGAACCCTAAACCCTAATGATGGGGTCTCATGGTCTGAAGTTCGTGTTAACTACAGACAGCTCAAGAGAAGTGTAACAACACAAATCTCAAATCATGGTAACGTAAGGAGCCCGAAATGCCCAGGGCAGGGATAACTCAAGGCAAGTCGGCCTGTATGAATCGAAGAAACTTGTTCATTTCACGGTGAGATGTCGTAGCTTTCCTTCCATCTCATGTTAAGCTAAGCGAACGACACTTCCTAAATTCGTGGGCCGGTTGAAGGCGTAGGCCAGTGCGATGGTATTTCGAAGTTTGAGGCATTTCTGTCTATTTCCACCGTTCGCGACTTTTCACGATATCGCGTAAGCCCCAAATCTTTCTTAGCCTTGCTCTGCACCCTGGTGGCACATTGGTAAGCCCTTGCCGGGCCAGGAGACTTAGATGACAATGGTCTTTTGGGCGGTTGGCATATAGGGGCCTTCATGATTAGAATAGGGTTTCCAGGCCCGTTATACTGTAATTATTATCCCCAAAATCCCTAAACCTTATAAACCCTAAACCCTAAACCCCTATAATAAGGAGCCCCAAAATAGTACAGGTAATTATTTCGGCCGGGAGTCTCTCAGGGTTAGGGCACAGGATCAAGGCTGAAGAGCTGGGGGTTCGACGTTAAACTGTTACCGGAGGCCGCCGAAGGGTCTAAGTACTCGTATGGTAGATACTTTGGGGCCCAAAATATCTACTATATGGGTACTTAGACCCTTTTGGAGGCCTGCAAGGTTCCAAGGTTCCGGGATGACCGGAATGAGGAAGGACAATTTGATAGGAAGTATCACGACAAGACCTACAAGCCCACACATCAAAGCCAAACGTAAACCTGGTCTACACGCACACACACACACACAGCGCTCAACTTCAATCGATGTGACAAACCCCTGTTCAGATAAACAGCACGCATACGGCTTGCTGCTTAGGCAACAGGTTACCCTGCGCTCAGAAGCTAGGGGCTTGCTATAACATACTTTTTCAAAAAAGAAGCTGAAGGATAGTACTACTAGTTTATTCTTTAGACACCTGTACTATATACTATATTGGGCTTTACTAAAAAATATTGAGATTCCTATTCTTTCTGGACCATTGCTTTTCAACCCCTCTAGAAAAAAGATTATACCATGAATATAACAAGAATCCGGAAAGAATACGGTTGATGATAAAAACCCTGCATTACCCACACTAAGGAATATACCATAATTCCCATAGTTTGGGTGCAGTATTACCGATTTTCGATCCCTAAACAGCTCCCTATACGATGTTAGGTTATATGATAATTCTATAAGCATCCTTGTGGAATAGTCTTATTGCTGTTTCTGTAAACCCCTGTACTATAGTTTTCCAGGCGGCACGATCGCTGTAGGACTTTTCAGACCGATTCGCGCTGGCCTCCTGTGCATCTTCAGGGCTTAGCAGTCTAGGATTCAAGGATTAGGAGATGAAGGGGCTCAGTAGGGCTTCATGGTTAAGTATAGGGTTTCCTCAAGGGTCCACGTACCCGAATAGTGTATACTTCGGCCTTGAAGCATTCCCCAGCCCCAAGTCGATACTAAAAGGGCATCTGACGTTGAGGGAGCAGCTGTCAGCACTGGCTCACAGCTACCGTTTCGGTGAGGGGTTTAGGGCTTAGGGGCCTAGCTCTAAACCCTAAACTAAGTTTTAGGGTTTCGGATGAAGGTTGTGCCCCTACTGACTTGACCCGAAAGCTGAACCTGAAAATGGCATTGCTGCGAGGGTCTGCCGAAAGCGGAGGTGCCCTCAACAGATGGGATTCTAGACTGTCCCAAACCTTTGGCTCCATCATATAGTACTTACGCTCCCTTCTAGGATTCTACCGGTTTAGGGTTTAGGGTTTAGGATACAAAACTGGTAAAACCAAAACAAGGAACTACAACAGAGACTAGGAAACCCTCCAAACTATCCACAAAGCCCTAAACTCCTTGACTCCAGACCTCCGCACCCCTTAAGAACTAGAATAGGGTTTTGGGGTACGCTATAATCATAATAAAAGAAACCCCCAAAATAGAAATGGTAACCTTACATTACGCCCCCCCTGAAACCGCGAACCCGTCAAGCTGTCGACCCCCAAATTTCAGACCATGAGACCCCATCATTGGGGGTTAGGGTTTATGGTTTAGGGTATAGGGGTTATAGGGGTTTGGGTTTGGGGCTTATAGGGTTTAGGGCTTAGGGCTTATAGGGTTTAGGGTTTAGGGCTTCGGGCATGAAACCCTGTAAAATCCAGTGCAGCATATACAATCAACAAGCCCACCCATGAAACCTTAAGAATAAACCCAAAAACACACCTACCAAAGCTTGATAGCAACCCGCGACGTCACACCATCAACAAACACATTAGACAAGCACAAACCCTAAACCCTAAACCCTAAACCCTAAATCGACAAACACACAAACAGAACCGATCCCTGAACCCTACCTGTAGCCGAAAAGACCTACCGTTTTAGGCTTCCTTCTTATGGGTTCTAAAGATAGTTCCTTAAAAAAGGTAGGCAACAGGTAAACCCTAAACACCCTCTCCCCAAAACCCTAAACCCTAAACCCCGATCCCCCCCCCCTCTCTGCGGGTTTCGGTCCTTTGGGGGTCGGTTCAGAAGGGCCCTGGCCCATGCGACGCTCCAAGGGCTTAGGGCTCCCGGGTTCCGGGGTTTCGGGCTTTCTGCTCTTAAAGAAAACAAGGGTTTAGGGTTTAGGGATATGATGAGAATAGGTTTTTGGGGGTATAGTATGTTGTAATTATAACAAGGAACCACAGAATAGTGTAGGTAATGATTTAGGCCGCTTTGTTACCTAAACCCACAAAAAATGTAAAATGCTGGCCCAGCACTCATAAAGGCAAGTATGCTACATTCTTTCGTGGTCCAGGTGTTTGGTTAAGGTCTCGGTTCATTGTGTTTTGGACCATACGAGCTTTAGGTGTGCTTTGTAGGGCTTACTCTTTGGGCTTGTTTTTTGATTCTTGTTTTGTTGGTTCTCGAACAGTTTAATGGTTCTACTGGCTTTAACTCTTAAACGTATCTTCATGAAATCATGGTTTGTGTGCTATCTAAGCACCTTCTCAGAAGTCTTCGTTCAGCTGACACTCCGACCCTCTGGAGCTCGGATGGGTTTAGGGTTTAGGGTGTAGGTTTAGGGTTTAGGGTTAGGGATGCTCTGGGAGTCCACAGAATTGTTGTCCATCAGCTTGCGGCAGAGGCCAGTGCTAACATCCAGTTTGAATTGCGAGGTTTCGCAGACCTCGTCCCTAACTACCCAGAGAACCTAATACCCCTTAATTAAGGAATATACCTTAAATCATAACATTAAGGCCCTTATAGTTTAAGGTATATTCCTTATTTAAAGGGTATTGGGTTCTCTGGGTCTCTAACTAAGCTTAAAGATCCAAGGATGTCGTCATTTGCCGCTTCTCATCTTCGGTCGAATACGCGAATCTCCTCCTTCAATGCGTCCTTAGCGAAACCCTAAACCCTAAACCCTAAACCCCACCATTTTGACAGGGGCAGGACCCGACGGAGAAGCCGTCGAACCCGCCTCCGGAGTGACGAGCATGCAATTCTTTGACCGAAACCCTAAACCCTACACTCTAAACCTTAAACCCTACACCCTAAACTTCAAACCCTAAACCCTAAATACTAAACCCTAAACCCTAAACCAAAGCCAGGCATGCTCCGAAGCAAGCCAAATTCCGCTCCATCAATGAGAGTAGGGAAGGGGAAAGTCGGCCTTCGGATCTCCTTCGATGCTATGCTTCCTCTGCTTCGATGCTTAGGGCTTCAGGGGTTTAGGGTTTAGGGTTCAGGGGTTTAGGGGTTTAGGGTTTAGGGTTTAGGGTTTAGGGTTTAGGGTTTAGGGTTTAGGGTTTAGGGGTTTAGGTTTTAGGGTTTACGGTTTAGGGTTCAGGGGTTCTGGCTTCCGGTGCTTCGCAGAGCTTGGGGTGTGTACCTAGAGAACCCAATACCCCTTAATTAAGGAATATACCTTAAATCATAAGATTAAGGACCCTATAATTTAAGGTATAACCCTTATTTAAGGGGTATTGGGTTCTCTGTGTAAGGAGTTGAAGGCGCGTTGCCTTGAGGCTTTCAGGCTTCTTTGAGGCTCTGGGCTTGCAAGGCTCATAGGGTTCTAATATGCCTCAACCCACCAGAATCTACTCTATTCTAGGGTCCCTATACATTCCATATTAGAGTTTATAACAAGAACTTACAACAAAGTAGGTTTTGGTAGGTTAAGGTGGGGGCTATGGGGGTTTGGGGGGCTATAGGGGTTTGGGATGTTGGGGTTTAGGATTTAGCGTTGTTTTGGGCTTAGGGTTTAGTCATCTTGTAGAAGAGCTACGTCGGTGTTATAAAAGCGGTCGAGGTACCCATTGATATACCCTGAGACCCACAGCCCTAAAGTCTAGACCCCTAAACCCCTAAACCCCCTAAACCCTAAACCCCTAAACCCCTAAACCCCTAAACCCTAAACCCTAAACCCTAAACCCTAAACCCGAAACCCGCCTAAAGCCCGAAGCCCCCAAGACCCGCAAACTGGCAAGCCCTCCCTGAACCCTGAACTCAACAAAAAGGGTTTAGAGGTTTAGGGTCTTGGGTTTAGGGTTTAGGTTTTAGGGTTTAGGGTTTAGGGTTTAGGGAAAACCTACCTACCAGTACCCTCAGTGTATTTTCAAACAGGGGTGGGTGGTCCTAAATAGTGGTTATTTACGGGTCAAACAGAGGGTAGATGGATGGTCTAGGTAGACCCTCAATCCCTTCAAGAAACCCTCTAGAGCCATGGCAATAGGGATATACGCCCCCCAAAAAACTTGTCGAGCTTCAGCTGAGCCTAAATCACCAGACCCACAAACACCCACAAGACCTCTAAACAGCTGCCAGAGGGTTTGGGGTTTAGGGTCTAGGGTTTTGGGTTTAGGGTTTAGGGTTTAGGATCTTCAGAAGACCCAAAGGCTCACTGGGAGTTCGAGGTCAGATGCACACAGAAACAACACGTGAAACATAACCCTAAGGGTCCATGTACCCAGATAGTATATACATTGGCCCCTAAGTACTTATATAGGGACTACTTTAAGGCCAAAGTATGTCTATTTGGGTACATGGACCCTTAGGGTAACTTAACCTAACCCTGGCAAAGCCACTAACTACACCCACAACTCCAATAGACCTCCCATCCACCCTACAACACACCAAAACCAGCCCCTCAAGCAAACCCTGGTAAACCCCGAACCCTACTAAATCCCAATCCCCATCTATCAGCACTAATCCCTACTCCCTATACACCCCCATCCCTATAAACCCGAGCTCCTACACTAATATAGGGACTTAAATAGGCTTTTGGGCCCCCATTATACTATTTTTTTTACATCAGGAGCCCCCAAAGCAGTATTGGTATTTATTTAGGCCCCGATGTTACACCCGACACCCTAAACCCGCGCAGGGCTGCCGGGAGTTCTCGTTGCCAGGTGAGCCTGGGTTCGTCTTCATAACATGATTCGTAGCATTTTGGGGGTCTAGGGAAGTTTAGGAATGAGTTAAGGCTAGAAATACGAGTTAGGATTGAGGACCTCAGGCCTCAGGCCTCAGGGTTTAGGGTTTCGGGCTTCGGAGTTTAGGGTTTCTGGCTTACCTAAACCCCCGAAAGTCGGTGAATGACTGAGAATCGGCTCCGGATTTGCTCTGAATGGCCGGGTGCGGGTGCAACCAGACTACGGTGAAGGGTTTAGGGTTTAGGGTTTAGGGTTTAGGGTTTAGGGTTTAGGGTTTAGGGTTTAGGGTTTAGGGTTTAGGGATTTCGAAGGTTGTCTGCACCCGACGGTTCAGTTGCTGACTCGGTGAATACACCCTGTTCATGTAGAGAAGCTCTCTACGACTCTACGGTAGACTCTACGTACGAACAAACGCAATCCCTGAATACCAACGAAATGTGTGTTTCGGCGGGATTTCGTCACTATTTAGGTCCAATCGCACATACATACATACATGCATACATACATACATACATACATACATACTTACTTACTTACTTACTTACATACATACACATACATACGCATACATACGCAGACATACATGCATACATGCATACATGCACACATGCATACATACATGCATACATACATACATACATACATACATACATACATACATAAACGCATGCGTACATATATATATATATGTAATATAATATATACATTCGCACATACATACATGCAGACATACGTACATACATGCAGACATAAATACATATAATATCATTAAACGTTGCCACTCTTCAGTGCTTCCCTCTAACCAATTCATTGAATGAAGTGATAAAAAGCCTTACGAAGACCCTGATGATGTACAGAAGAAGCCACTCAAGTTCCAGAGCCCTCTAGGAAAAGCCCCGCAGAAACTCTGCGGAAACCGGAGACAAGCCATACTCAAAACGGAAGCTCGACTTTGAAGTAGCCAGGCAGAAACCAATATAGACGTGTATTTCATATTGGTTTTTCAAGGCATTGAAGTATGGTACTCCAGAACCCAAGAAAGCCTTAACGGCCCCAAACCCTGACCCCAACAAATATGGAACCCTAAACCCTTAACCGCCTTAACCCTAAATCCTTGACCCTAAACCCCATACGCTAACCCCAACAACAAAAAGTTGAACCCTAAACCCTTAGCCCTAAACCCAACAAAACAAGTTGAACCCTAAACCCTAAACCTAACCCCAACAAAAACATTGAGCCCTATAAACCGTGAAGCCTTTCTTCGGGTTCGGGTGCGCTTCTTGCTATCCTAGGTTGGCCCCTCAAAGCCTCTAGAAAATATTCGTAAATAAGATCCTCTTAAGCCCAATAAGGGAAAATATAAAATGTCCCAAAGGCCTACCTAGTATCAGCCTGGGCACGGGTTTGCGGCCTCGCTCTGCTGGCCCCGTAGCTGCGCCTCCCTTGCGAAGGCCTGGTCGCAGTCTAAAACCCTAAGGGTCCATGTACCCAAATAGACATACTTTGGCCTTAAAGTAGTCCCTATATAAGTACTTAGGGGCCAATGTATATACTATCTGGGTACATGGACCCTTAGGGAAATGTACTATCCCTCCACCTAACCCCCGCTACCAAAAACAAATGGGGACAAAACTAGTCCAACACCTATAAGAAGCGATTATTCTGCATACTTTTGGGGTCCAGGTACAGCTGTAAATGCTTAAATCCGCAACTCCTAGGTGCGCACAGCTCTGCCCATGAAGCTTTGTAAATTGTCAAGCTGAGGGTTCGGGTACTTGCTGACTTACTGATTTACTTTCTGATTTGCTTGCTTGCTGAGTGACTAACTAATTCACTTACCAACTATCACGGCACGTACACACCTATATGCTTGCTAGATCTTGATCTTGCTAGCTTAATCACTCACTCACTCAGTCAGTCACTCACTCTCTCGATTGTCACATTTGCTCGTGTCTATATTTATTTCTCATTGTCTTGCTTGCTTGCCTAGTTGTTATAGTCGGCAGTATGTGGCAGCTCAAAATATGCAGCCATTATTTGTGCTTATGTATGTTACATAGACTCTTGACCACCTTTCCGTCGAAAACACAAAAGAGGCAATACAGACGCTGTCGCACGTAGTTATGCATTTACATACGTATCTGGGCGCGTGCGTGTTACATATGCGCCTATTTACATGTTAGATAGATAGATAGATAGATATACATAGATCCGAAGAAAGAGAGAGAGCGAGAGAGAGAGAGAGAGAAAGAGAGGGATATTTTTTCTTCATATACAGATAGTCTACGTGTGGGGTGCCGTTCGAGGTCTGCTTTGAAGAGTGAAAGGGGCCATACGCTATGTTCCCTTTTGTCTATATAACACAGCCCATATCTTGCATATCTTATGTCCTCATGAGGCCCGATTGTCCCGAAGAGGAACTCACCTTTTAAAATATTTTTAATATGTACTTGGACTCCACAAAACCTGCATTTCAGGATGACCCGAAACCCTTGTTAGAAAATATCAAAAGCAAGCTATACATTAACCCCAAATAACCTTCCTCTTTAAGGACTTGTACAGAGAAGTCATAGTAAGGAACCCTAAAAAGGTAGGTTCTTAAGGGTCCAGATAGGACTAGGAGACTCTTCGAATCGAACACCCCCCAAGCAGCACATCAGATTCAAGCTCTACCCAACTCTCGCCTCAAACCCTTTGGGGTTTAGGTTTAGGGCTTGGGCTATAGAACAAAGCTCTGTGGACTCTTAATACGAAAACCCTACATACACTAATGAAACACGAACTAACGACTTAAAGCAGAAGCCAAAAAAGAGGCTTCAGACCTCCTGGAACTGGAGCGGCTGCTGCGCCGGCTGCGGCTGCGCCTCCGCCGCCCCTTGGAAGCATCAGTAGTTGAAAAAAGTCTTTTGTAGGATTTATGTGTGGATCCAAAAAAACCTACTGTCTTCGGCGTTCTACTCTGGTTTGGGTCTTTTGGTCAAGGGCTTGCTGGTTAAGGACTGCAAACTTAGGGCTTTTGGGGCTTCGGGGACCCCTAAACCCTAAACCCTTGCAAGTCCTAAAGCCTAAACACCTGGACTCTTGGACAACCATTCACCCTAACGCTCATGGACCCCCATAGTGAAAGCCCAAACCTTAGCCCCCAAAGCCCAAACCTTCGCCTAGAAGCCCATAACAGCAATAAGAGCCTGAGGGCAAACGATAAAAAAACATAGACCGAAGCCCCAACACTGAACCGCCCTAAACACCAAACCCTCAACGGCCCCTTATATTACAGCACCCTTGAACCCATTCTAGTATCCTTATGGAACCACAAACCCTAAATAAACCCTACACCATAAAACAAAAAAACAAAAAAAACAAAAAACGTAAACTCTAAACCCTAAACGACCCGCCAAAACCCTAACCTAACCCCCCCGCTCCCCCCCTCCAAGAGAGAATACCTGTAGAAAGGCCCGCACTTCATCGCGAGGAGCGTCGGAGTACTCCACACCTAATGTAGGGGCCATAATAATAAATAAAATAGGGTTTTGGGGGTTCCTTACTATAATCATAGTATAATACCCCCCAAACCCAGGGCCCCTACATTAAGCTCCTACTGCGGCTGTTTGGGGTTGCGGGTGTTCTTCGGGTCTTCAAGGTCTGGGGTTTGAGGTTCAAGGCTTTTCCAGGGTTTAGGGTTGGTAAGGCTTAGCGTCTTCTAGGGCTTAGGCTGATGATTTCGGGCTGTTACTATGTACACGAAACTCTCTGAACGTCTTTCGGTACCTACAACTGTTCTATTTGGGCAAAGGGTGATTTTGTATACGGACCGTATGACCGCATCAAAACCAAGTTGACTATACAGGTATTCTAGGGTTTAAGGTTTAGCACTGTGAGCTGCTAGGATAGAGAATACTGTGCGGCGTCTGAAAGATAATAATTAGAATAGGGTTTTGGGGTCCTTTATGGTGTAATCATAATTAAAAAAGGAACGCCCAAAATACTATAGGCAATTATTGAGGCGCCTATATTACTGTAAGGGCTTAGGGTTTAGGGTTTAGGGTTTAGGGTTTAGGCTTTGCAGACTCAGGGCTTATAAGGGTCTTCTGAATCAGCATATGGGGTTACAGTGAAAAAAGGATGTGAGGACCGTAAGGGAGACCTCTACGGTACCCAAAGGGTCCAAGTATTCATATGGTATCTACTTTGTAGGTATTTGGCCTCAAAAGTATATCCTATACTATAACTTGTTGGGCCTTAGTAATTAGAATATGGTTCTTGGGCCCATTTTACTCTATTTAGTTGTAGTAAGGAACCGCCAAAATAGTATAGGCAAATATTAAGGCCTCTATATTATACCCATAGGCTTAGGGGTTAAGGTTTAAGGTTTAGGGCTCCATTGTAGTCCTGATCGACTCCTAAATATAAACCACAAGAAGGAACTATCAAGGAGCCTACGGGTAATTTGAAGCCCGGAAGCTTGCTTCCGTCTGCCTGAAACCTGAAGATGCTGACCCCCCAAACTGCCTTAGGGTCTAGGGTTCAGGGGTTTGGTTTTAGGGCTTAAGGTTTAGAGTTTAGGGTTCAGGGTTTAAGGACGGCCAAGGTTCTTGGATATTTCGAAGTCTAACCAGATCCTAACGAGACCAGTTCTGTGCGTACTGAGGTTCAGAGCATTGGTATGGGCGCTTCCGTTCGGTTTGCTTTGGGTTAGCACGTTGTACTTCGGTGTTGTCTCGTTCGGCACGGTCCTCCACCTCTCCCTGCACCCCTCTACCCATCCACCGCTTACCCTAAACCTAAACCCTAAAACCTAAACTCTAACCGCAAAACTCTAAACCCTGCATTTACATGAACATGACAATTAAGTATAACCTAGAAGCTTTCTTACTTACAAAACAATATAAAGAACAAACTATATACATGCTACCTAGGTACTGGCTCGCTTGACGTACCACATGTGCACCTGCCACCGACAAAATCCTGGCCAGTGCTTGCTCGCCTGGTAAGCCCAGGACCCTGGGCTGGATCTCCATATCGAGTTTTCCTCGCTGCTGTAGCATGGTTTAGGGTTTAGGGTTATCCTCGCTGTTGTTCTCGTCAGGCATTTGCATTTCCAAGGTGATCCGGACGCTGGATCGGAACTTGGGGACCGTCGAGGTCAATCTGCAGCCTGCTGAGCTGTCAGCCCTCGCTGCAGGTCCAAGGACGGTTGGCCCGGTGCCCGGTGATGTCGCCGGGCCGGAAACCCAAACCCCAAACCCCAAACCCTAAGCCCTAAACCCTACTATATACTATACTATACACTATACTATATACTATACTATATACTATACTATATACTATACTATATACTATACTATATACTACTATACTATATACTACTTTACTATATACTACTTTACTATATACTACTATACTATATACTACTATAATAGATACTATACTATATTCTACTGTACGCTATACTGAAGTATCCTTACAACAAGACTCCAGCACTCATGTGTGAAGTGTGAAACTCACCTTTAATTTGTTTACACTCCTTCTTTCATCCTAAACCCAAAACCCACAACGACACCTTGTACGAAACATCGCCGTTTCAAGGACCCCTCAGCTTGAGGAGTAGATTCCTCAACTAGAGCCTAGCCTGCTGATGGAGCCATCAATAATTAACAGGGTTTAGGGCTTTGGGGATTTTGAAGTCTAAGGTTTGGGGTAGCTTTGGGTTTATCGCATAACAAAAATCAGCGGTATTAGGGTGTTGAAAAGGGTTTAAGGCTAAGGGCTTTAAAAAACCCTAAACCCTAAACCCTAAACCCTAAACCCTGACTTAAAAAACTGTAGGGTTCCTAAACCCGAAGACTTTCGGCATGCTGTAGCACTGCAGGACCCTAACCCCTAAACCCTAAACCCCTAGACCCTGACCCCTAAACCCCTAAACCCCTAAACCCCCAACCTCCAAACCCTAATAACCCGAGCGCCGGGCTTCGGTGGTAGCTTGACCTGACAGCATTGCAGATTTAAGGCTCCAGACACGGGGGCTGCAGAGGCTGTGGGTTCAGGGTTTAGGATTTAGGGTTTAGGGTTTAGGGTTTAGGGTTCAGGGCTTGTCAGTGTAAGATACGATGTTGACATTTTGAATTTTGGGTTTAGGGTTCAGGCTTATATATTTTGTTATACATATAGCTTATTGCACGTAGCATGTCACAGACAATTTCAGCATACTCGACTCTGTTATAGCCGATTAAGATACTGGTATTTGGGGCCTAGGGTTTAGGGTAGTAAGGGCTTAGGGCTTCGGGTATTTAGGGTCCTAGGGTTTAAGGTAGTTAGGGCTTAGGGCTTAGGGTATTTGGGGTTTAGGGCTTAGGGTATTTGGGGCTTAGGTGAAGGGCCGGACCAGCTAACGATCGAAAACTCAAGCGCCGAACGGCGGGTTTAGAAATCGGCAACTGGAGCAGTGCCGGAAATGGGCAGTCGCCCATGGAGGCCAGAACCCCGAGGCAGACCTCCGGTAGCGCGGATACTGTGCTATTCTGGGTACACACCAACACCTACGTCGCAAGCTAAGCCAGCACCAAAAGAGTGCCAACTTGGGAGTCCTGGTGCTAGGACGTGAAGTTCAGAGCTGGGTGGCTGGCCTCCTGTGCAGCTGCAACAGCAGCGCGGCCGCGAGCTCGGGGTCCGAGGGTATGGCAAACTGGCACACTTCTGCATATGCAACCGCATCCTGCCCCGCTTCCAATCTCTGGCTCACGTGATGCTTCACTTGTATAAGCGAGCCGCGATGCTTCTGGCATAAAATCTTCAGCAAATTTGGCACATTTCCCATAATCGTTTTTGCTGCGTCCGAGAATTTATCGTCTTCTTTTCGTTGAAACACGTGCACAGCGTCGAAGAACAGGACCGCCAATACGGTTTGGGGGGACTTCCTTCGAGGCCCAGTATCTGATAATCATCCACCATTACTACTATCTTGGGGGCTACAGCAAAGGAGTTAAAGTACAACTATGGCGGGTTCTTACACATACCATCATCGTATTTCGAAAACTTTAAAGGAAACCCCACCTCGAATGGCCAGAGGCTGAAAGAGCAAAACCCTAGCCCGAAACCCCTAAACCCTAAACTCCACCCTATAGACCCTATGAGGCCTCTAAGCCCTATGACGCTACAAAGCCTCTAAGCCCTGCACCCCGAGCACAACAAGTTTCAATGGTCAGCCGACCTCGAAGTTTTAGACTCCGAAATCCAATCGCTGAAAAAAAAATAACGCGGGTTTAGGGGTTTAGGGTTTA